GTACAGAGACACAGCAGTGGGTCCTTCTGGGACAGCTGGGCCGGGATGCCCTGTGGCAGGCCCCAGCTTCGAGAACACTGGGCAGCAGCGGAGGCAGCCTCCTGCGGTGGGGGACACACGCACACAGTTTGCCTCCCGGGGACGTTCTTCAGCGAGTTTTCTGTTCCTTAGAGACTCTTTCCAACATCTGCTTCCTCGTCCTTACGCTGCTCAACACTGGGTGACCATAATTAAGCTAACGAAAGCGGGGGACCGTGTGGTCTGTAACTGAACCTTCACCAACACATTCTTCTTGGCAGAGAACTTCCGGACCCCTCAAAGTTCCAGAACGTCCCGTTGTCTCCTGGGACCCTGTCTGGGAGGCTCGCCCAGACTCGTTTTGAATTTACCGTAGGGAGCAACCTCACAAGCGTGCAAGTCTGTGACGCAAAGAGAAGTTACGTTGACCCTTTGGTTCCCACGGGCCGTGGCGACCAACTGAGCCACCCAGGCGCCCCTGAATGTTTTTGTTAAAAGGAAGATCCTGGTTCAGCAGGTGTATGTGATACATGATATATACATATATATATGTGTATATATATATATATAGATAGATAGATAGATAGATAGATATGTGTGTATATATATATGTATATATATATATTTCAATATATACAGAGTATTATGAATATATATATTATGGACTAAATTCTATCCTCCCCCAAATTCAAATGTGGAAGCTCTAACCCCCCAAACTGATTACATTTGGAGACAGGACCTTTAAAGAGGTAACTGAGGTCATAAGGGTGGATCCCTAGTCCGACAGGACTGATGTCCTTTTAAGAAGAGCGAGAGGGGGGCACCTGGGTGGCTCAGTCGGTTGAGTGTCTGACTTTAGCTCAGGTCATGATCTCAAGGTTCATGAGTTCGAGCCCCACATCGGGTCTGCTATCAGCACAGAGCCCACTTTGGATCCTCTGCCCCACCCCCTTTCCCTGCCTCTCCCCTGCTCATGTACATGCGCGCACACACACTCTCTTAAAAAAATAAACACACACACACAAAAAAGGAGAGAGACCAGGGATGTGTACACACAGAGAAAAGCCTGTATGAGGACACAAGGAGAAGACAGCTGGGGAGAAGGCTCTCCCCAGAAACCAATCTTGCCAGCATCTTGCACTCCCAGCCTCCAGAACCATAAGAAAATAAATTTCTGTTGTTTACGCCACCCAGTCTATGGTATTTTGTTAAAGCAGCCTGAGCAGACTAATACCAGACACTCGCGCGCGTGCACACACACACACACACACACACCCCCCTCACCCTAGCTCGGTCTCCTAAGAGGGCAGATTCGCCTGACGCCTCACCAGCACTGAGCACATCTTATCCCAGGTCTTTGTTTCTAAACACCAGGCTCTATTTATTAAAAGGACTCGAGGCTCCTTAGGCGAATGGCTGGTTCCTAGAGAAGCCAGGGAGCCCTATGTAGTAGTCAGGGCACGACTTAGCCAGAGAATCGCAAAGACACACGGCTGGTGGTGCCAATCCAAGAGAGCCAACGTTCTGATGAGTGCGGGGAAGCCGCTGATGTACCCACCCTGCGGAGAAGACTGAAGGACCAGGAGGTTGAATGAATCACCTACAATCACACAGCTTATAGGTGTCAAAGCTGGAGCCACCAAGCCAACCCAGCGTCTCGGCTTACACCAAGCTGGGGTGGGGGGGACAGGGGTGCCTACGGAGAGTAGGAAGGGCGCTGAGCCCCGGGAACAGGGAAGGGCTCCAGCTGGTGCTGGTCCCTGGACAGGAAGGACGCTGCCTCCCCAAGAACAAAGGAAAGGGGTTTATGTCCTTGCCATGGTGATGCGAGAAACGAAGGCTAATGAAAAATTAAGTTCCCTTCCTGCCTACAGCCCACTGACAAGTCCTTGAAAGGCAGTGACCTCCCTCTAGGAGCTCAGCTGCCTGCAGGGTGACACTTCGCTGGGGGCAAAGGAGAACCTTGGCTTAACTTTGTCCCAACCTCAAGGATACTGTGAGTCTACTTCCTTTACCTAAACTGCCCCAAGACGTATGCTGGGAATCCCACTCCAAGCTTCTGGCCGCAGTATAAACATCTGAAGGGTCTCAGGACTGAGGTCGTATTAAAAGGTTTCCCTAGCAACAGCTAGCCCCTCAAGGTCCTGGAAACTGTAAACCTTGCTTCCGAAATATCTTAGAGACTTCCTTTATCCCTGTGCCCCTCCCAACCTGAGGGTATATAATGAGTTACCCTTCAGGACCCCAGTGAGGCTCCTCCTGCCCACGGGTCCTGTCCCCATGCTATAATAAAATCACCTTTTTTGCACCAGAGATGTCTTCAAGAATTCTTTCTTGGCAGCTGGCTCTGGACCCCTCGACCCCCACCATCACCCCACAACTTCATCCACAGTAAATCCCCCCCCCATTCCCATAACCAACGCCCAAAATTCTCAGCTCACAGCTCCGTCTTGTTTTGTCTACACTCCCACCCTTCCACGCAAGCCCCCAACCTTTTGAAGCAAATTCCAGACGATATTAGCTCATCTGTGAGTATTTTTCCGGAGCTCTAGAAGATAAGAATTAAACACACACACTCTTTTATTTTCCTCTTAAAAGTTTCCTTCTGGGAGCGCCTGGGTGGCTCAGTCGGTGAAGCCACCGACCTCGGCTCAGGTCATGGTCTCATGGTCTGTGGGTTTGAGCCCCACGTTGGGCTCTGTGCTGACAGCTCGGAGCCTGGAGCCTGCTTCGGATTCTGTGTCTCCTCCTCTCTCTGCCCCTCACCCACTCACGCGCTCTCTCTCTCTAATAAGATAAACTTGAAAAAAATTTTAAAAAGTTTCCTTCCGAACATCCTGTTCCCCTTAGCTTAGAAGGAGGACTCGATGCCTGCTTTTCTTCTTCCAGGGTAAGGTTTTTGATGGCCAGGTGAGGGCTGGAGGCGCAGGGACAGACAGAAGGAAAGCCTGGAAGCCTGGCTGAGGTTCGCGGTACCAAACCAGCCACCGTGGATTCTGGCGTTGCATTTTTGTGGCTTTTTTTCTGCTCCATGACCGGGACCTGCTTCTGCGATTCTGAGAGCTTGGAGAACACACCCCGCCCCTTCATTTTCTGCCGCGTCTACCTTCTTTGATCACAGAATCTATTTAACCGCCTTAAGAAAAAACGTTCCCTCTGAAGTGGTGAAGGGCGGGACTTCCAGGGGCCTGGAGGGCTAAGGCCCGGGTGGCGGGGAGGGGCGCCCCCCCCCTCAGCTTCGGGAAAGGGCAGGAAGTGAGCCGACCCCGGGCCATTCTGGCCCCTCAGTGACCCCTCAGTGACGGCCAAAGCCTGTGTCCCCAGGTAAAACGAGGAGGACGCACGTAAACGAAGTTGGGTCCTTAACGTCCTTCCAAGTTTTCATCTCTCAAATGCAGTCAGAAAAACGAAGAAAGGAAGGCACTTAGGGAGTGCAAAACCCCAACACCACGGTCCAGCCCCCCGTGAGGAGGTGCACGTCCGCCCTCCCGGGATTCAGCCTGTACCCACCCAACCCTCGGGAAAGCGGAACCGTCTGGGGGGGTCTCCGGGCAGCTCGGCACCCAGCGAGCTTAACACGGAGAAGTGACCCCGCAGCGCGTCCGGTCTGCGGAGGGCACCGCCCAGCGGCCGCCCCGGGACAGGGCGGGGTCGGGGCGGAGCGGGCAGAAGGGGCGGAGCGCTCCCCGACTGGGCGGCCCCGGGGCGGGGTCCCGGCGA